ATTAGTTCTTTTCTTACTTTCAGTGCAAAGCAAATGGATTTGAAATAAAGTGTCAGAGGCCAGTATATGGCATCAGGCACATCAGGTTATTTGATAGTAAAGTCTATGTGTTACGAGATTTTAATTTATCTTCCTTATGCAAATAAGACAGATTGATAAAATGCTCTGAATGGATAAGATAATCAAGCCTGGCAGCTAAAAGTCCTGTCAGCAGTGACCCTGTAAAGAGGTTGGCTGCTCCTTGAGAACAAGAACTTCGAAAACTGAGTAGAAAAAAATCTTAAATCTCTACAAATACCACTCACAAGAATTCTTTCATTTTACTGGATGAGTCCACATTTGCTTTGGTTGTCATTTCCATTATTGAATGATCTCAATTCTGAAACAGGATAACTAGTTATTGATTCTAATATCAGCAGCTTAAATGCTGTTAGCTAGGAGCAGCAGCACAAGGGAAAACAGCTGCACTAATGCTGTAATCATCTCCTATACGAGGCTGCCTCTCCTCCTTTTCTATCTAGGAAGGCTTAAGGCTCAGAATAACCAAGGATCTCATAATCAATCATATCTCTGTTGTTTTTTCTATATATCTCTTCTGTTCTTTCTCTGTTGTTTCTTTTTAATTTAGGAGCAGGCAATATATGTCTAAGATACAGACTGTACTGGATTATCAGGATGCCCGAGCTAGCTTGTTCTGTAATTTGGTACCACAAGCAGCAGTCTAGCTACAGAAGCATGCAGCTTGGTGCAGGTCAATATTCCCTTGGGAAAAGAAAGGACACAAGGTGCTTCAAGTGTTTGCATTAACTCTTGTAAAGCTAATTCAATTATATCCTAAATTGCCTAAGAAAATCACATTGGAAATAGCTCTGAGCTGTGGGCTCCAGGTCAATTGATTTGTCAGTTCTTTCATGCTGTGACTGGCTTGAGACTTTCAAAGGGTTTGTTATGAGTTAATTCTTTCTGTCCAAAGAATAGCTGAGAGTACACAGCCTGGTTCTTCTCTAAAGACTTAACAGCTTAATATTACAAACATATGCATTTAATATACCAGAAGGTTGACTATAACAATGAGGAGTAATAAATACATTTTATGAGAATAGTTCTTGGCACTCCGAAGAATCAGCCCTTATTTTTGGCCTCCAGGAGACCAAAAACTTTCTAAATATCCATCTGTATATGTTCAAGATCCACATACATGGTCTGAGTCTGAGTTGTCTGCAGTCCTATTTCATTTCAAATTCAAAAGAATACTCTCTGGAAGTTTTGAAGGGAAAACAGTGAGGCATTTCCTTCCTCTTTCCTCCTTCTTTGAACAACTTCCTATTGATTGCACCAGCGAAATGCAAATTGTGCAAATAATTTCCTTTTCAAAAAGAAGTGTGCTTAACTTCACTGGGAGCTACAGATCTACACTTTCTCTCAGAATCTGATCCCATTAAGAGAGACAAGGGAAACTATTAGATGTATGCCTCATACATGGGAGTTTGTCTATCAGAATTGAATGAAATTCTTTCTCTTACAGAACTCAGAAGGGTTAAAGGCAAACATTTCTCTGCTTTTTACCACTTAGTCCATCTCCTGAATGAGAGCTTCTTTTGAGCAGCTGAGCACAAAAGTGCATCTGGAAAATATCAACTAATGTATTTCAAAGTTATTACGTGAAAAGTCCTGAATTATTATTTTATTTTTTTTAAGAAACCTTCCAAGAGAATTCACTTCCGAGATCTGGCTTGAGAATGAACAGAAGACATTTCTCATCCCAAAATAATTTTATGAGAAAGGTTTAAATGTTTAGAAAATACGTTGGAACTGCAATTTCTCCCTTAACCAATAACCTTGGTGATGTATTTCATGACTGATAGAGTGAGTATATGTGTATACACATGTACACACATCATTTCACTTGTTTACCTTTGGATCAAAAATAGAATGATACAACATTTGTTTTATCATTTTCGATCCCCCCTGAGGCATTGTGACATTTGGTGCATTTATTTTTCCCGTTAAGAGATGATTCTTTAGTTCTTTGAAGCAGGTGCAGGAAATATTTAGCAGAATGTTTACACTGTGACAACTATACATCAGGGGGAATAAGGGGGAACATGCACAGAAAGTCAGAAGTTGATTACATTTCTTACTTCTACACAGTCCAAACATACAAGCTAGAGAGAATTTCTGTCCTCACTGCAGCTAATAGCATGTACATAGATTTCAAAGGGACCAAAGGCAATCTTGTGACTAACTTGAATTGAGGACCAAAGTCATGTACGTGTGAGTCTGTACAAAATGTAGATGAATAACCCTCTTACTGTTCAGCTTTGAACACTAAGCTTCAGGCTCCTCCTTGTAGTTAAAAGAAAAAGGTAAATTCCTCCAAAATTCCTTTCAGGGAGTCAAAAGCAATTTACTATTTTATGACAGAATACTTAAAACTAAGGACTTTGTGCATAGAAAATGCCTATGAAAAAACAGTTTAAAATTCATCTGTACTTTGGTTGTTTATGCTCTCGTTGGGACAGTTTTTATGATGAGGAATGTGCAGAATAGACAGATATTGATGATCACCTGAACTCCAATATCCTACATCCAAACTGGACAAAACTGATCTAGATATGTTACAATAGGGCTGAACACACCATACAGGTTTTGCTAACATTAGTCCGGTATGGGAAATCTGGGGAAGATCACTTTTGTTATCTTAGTGAGAAAGAGACAGAACTCCAAACAATACATCAGGAGTTTTTCTAAACCATTATACTTCATTGGTCAATGAATGGAGAAGTCCTCCTAAGACTCAGGTGGACATGGGTGTCACTAGGCACTAAAATATTTTTTTTTCCCTGAAGTCAATGAATATTTAGATATTTATATGGGAATTTGAATATCTCCCATATAAGAAAATGCCTTATGAAGACAGGGCTTGACGCATGAGACATATGATGGCCACTTTCTTCAGCAAGATGAAAATATCTCAATTTCCCCAGGTTATTAAAGCAAATGAGCAACATTATCTCCACCAATGACACAGCATACCTCTAATTATGTGTTTCTATTTATATGTCTCAATGCAAACGTCACAGATAAAACTATCTGAAATATTTTTGCTTCTGACTTCAGTGAAGAATATACTTTTATCTTATCTGTCCCAGTGGTGATTTTTTATTTGTTCCAACACAAAAGTAATTTGATTACTCAGCCAATTTGCTACTTATTCAAACTTATTGTTACAGTGATCATTTCTAACTGTATCTTCTTTTTAGCTAGATGGCTAGCAAGAAAATGCTTAATTTGGCAACGTTGTCCACAAAGCTTGCAAATATATAAAGAATCCAAGTCACACAGCAGAGGCACCCACAGAAGGCCAGTTCATATTATTGCTACTGATTTTCTGTTCTTTAAACTCACTCCATTCAAAGTTTTTGCCATTAATCTTGCCAAGTTCATAATTTATTTCCTCACTATGAGTATTGCTCTGAAAATAATGCATCCGATTTTATTATGTTGGCACACAACACCAGAAGTGGATGTTGGTGGTATGGCAGTTTGAACCTTCCCGTCAATATTCCATCACATTCTGTTGCTGTGCGTCTGATGGCAGCAGAGGGCAGTCTGACAGAACGGCATCTGACGTGAAAGTGCATATGAAGTAAAGGTGTGTAACTGAATTCCTCAATAAGGAAGAAACGACACACACTGACATTCACTTATGCTTGCTGAATGCTTATGGAGACTGAATGTTGAACGTGAGCACTGTGAGGAAGTGGGTGGTGTGTATCAGCAGTAGCAACAACACGTTACCTTTGCTAGTGCAGATTTTTATGAACAGGCTCTTGTCCATTGCTAGCAAAAATGTATAAGTAATAGTGGTGACTAAATCGAAAAATAGTGCAAACTCGAGTTACAAAGCACTATTAAACAGTGCTGTTTTACTCTTTGCAACTGTTGTACTTTCCATGAAAATAAATAGGAGGCATTACATTTGGAGTGACCTACGCATTTTGGTCTTGTTGACCACCGAGATGAACAGCAGCAGAAGATCCTATTTAACAGGAGTAAAGCTGATGCAAACGATCCCAAAATCAGTTCCACCTTTCTAAATCTGATATTAGAATATACATAAGAATATCCTTTATTAACATTTTAGCCTGATGATGAGGCACTTTTTTTGTGTGTGATAAACTTCTTTATGATAGAAACATTCTGACTTGTTATGAAAAGAATGTGAAACATAGCATCCAGAGAGCTTTTGCCTTACACATATTTAAAAGGCAAAAGCAATACTTTGTAAATTATCCAGTTTTTAGCAGCATTTGTCATGCAACCTCTTTGTTTGATGAAAGTTTTGGTATTGTATGATATCTCTCCACTCAATATATTAATAAAAATCTTTCCTTTGAATTTTAAGCTTTTTTTGTAGAACACGCACAGGAAATTTGATTCCATGAAGGAAAAGCATTTTCTTTCTTCTGTATAGAGCTAACGTCTGCTTATGTAAATCATCTGTTTTTTACCTCCTGAACAACTATTGGGAAGCCTGACCATTTAAAGTATCTTCACCTACTTCTTACGTCACTATTCAGAATCTTTATTTAGTACATCCCCAAATTCTCTTTTGAAGTAGCACTTAACAGATTGATACATATAAGAGTCAGCAATATCATGGGTGTCACGGTGAAAAAAGAAGATAAGATCAAGTATCAGAAACTTGGATTCTATCCTTTGATTCATCACTGAGCAACACTCTTATTTTAGGCCACTCTACTCTGTTTTTCTGCCTTGCAATCAGTCATCAGTTTTCCTAGTTAAAATACTCCACTGGGATGGTAATATCTTCTGGATACAATTACACAGTGTTTAGCATGCTGGGGCTCTACATTCGAGTCTTTTAGACAACGAAGTACTACAAATAAATCATAATAATAATATTCTTAATTGCAGTTAAGATTAAACCTAAAGTTACCTTATTGGAGTGTCATCCTGGTTCCTGTGATATTTGTCTGAACCTTTCTTCTTACGGTATAACACATGTGCTTCAACTCCATTGGTCAGCTTCTTCCTCTTAATGCAGACAGCTTAATGGATTTTTCTTACGCACAGTACAGTTTGTTTCTTAGTATTAATTTCAACTTCAGGTTATTGTGTAAATTATGTCCTAGCTGGAAATTGAACCATGTTGACCACTGAAAAAGAAAAGCCTAATATATGACCTGTATTAGACAAATTTGCCCAGCCAGCAAAGTACGGTTGGATTGATTTTCACTCTGTCATAATGAGATAGATTGTTAGACAAGTTCTCCACCCAGTGGCTACAAGTGTTAGTGAAAGCAAGGACATGATCCTCAGTATACCACTGAAAACCTGGGAAGGTAAATCCTGCTTCAGCATCTCCTTTAGCTCATGCAAAAGGATGTTTCCTTCATTTAGACCTAAGAAATCTTTTAAAAAAAAATTTTATGGCAAAAATAGACATAAGAACAATACAGTTAAATACTGATCCTTTCCTCTCCTCCCACATCCCCTTCTCCAAACAAATGAAACAAACAAAAAATTGATACTAAGATTTTCTACAGAATCTGATTTCAGAATGACTTATCAACATAGGCTAAGAACTGCATTTTTTTATTTGCTTGTTTGCTTTCAGCATAGAGCAGCAAATCAACTATTTCCTCTTACCATCAGCGCGGAGCCAATTTTAAATCTTATCAGAGTTATTAGAAATAGGATTTAGCATTGGGAATAATTTGCTTTCTACCTTCAGACTACACAGACTCAGACAAAGGATTGGTCATTGCTTCAGAATATAGATCCTTTTTCACCCTAATAGATAAGTGTCACACAAATCTAAGATTGACTAATATTAGCATGTCCCAGAAATGAGAAGTGGCCTTGGATGGGAAAGCTGTTTTTCAGAGGAGGTGCCTGACACACAGAATGGCTGCAGAAGGGACAGAAATGCTTTGCTGTATTTTTTTTTTTCTTCTTCAAGCTAAGAAGAACAGTGCAACTCATTTCCTTCTCCAGGAATCTCTATCAGTACCTCTCCCCTCAAATTACTAAAAACAAACAAAACTTGTTCAAATATCATTTTCCCTGAAAGAATCCCAATGAAGGTACGGATCTGGACTAATCACAAAGAAAATCTCCTGTTATTATTACTTGGGTAGATCTGTTGGGGGACCTATGGGACTTGTGATCATCTCAGTCAGTACCTACCAGAAAAGCACACTTTTCCAGTCCTGTGTTTTTAATTTTCCTGTATATCACAGCCTTCCTCAGTCTATGTGCTCAATATTCTAGCACAGAGATATTTAACCAAAGAATGTATAGCCAGCTGCCTCAACACAATTACTATACTTTCTATGTTATTTTGTGGAAAATAAAAAGAAAATAAAAGTAAATTGAAAAAAGATTCAGCAGCAGTATGGATTTATACATGTATATAATTTGAGAGTTACCACTGTTCATTCTTCTAATAGATCATACTTTTGGTTTTTAGAGATTCCACTATCTCTTTCCCGCAGTACTCTTTCTTAGTGTTGTGGGTTATTTCCATATATAAAGAGAATGTATTCTTTGGGGAACTTGAAGTTACTGTACTTCTATATATATAAATACTTGTTTATTGATTATTTATTTATCTTTGTGCCAATTAAAAAAATAAAAATCTATATATAAATTTAACTTCAGTATTCAAATTTATGATAACAAGATGATGAAAAATACAAGAAATACACAGCACAGCCCTTCCAACTCCTGACTGAGTTTCAAGGAGAGTTCTCACCAAACTTTTCACATTTTTTAGGTACTGCTCTATGGTTGGACTGGGGTTTCTTTCTGAATAAAAATCTGAAGATCTTCATTTGTGAGGGAGAAAAAAAAGGCATTACATGCATACATATAATGATGTGACTTAACTACCACAAAAGATAGAAGAGAAAAATAAAGTTTACAATCAGGGTTTTGTCCTGCAAATTTAGGAAATAGCTACAGCGAACAATAAACTAGAAGGAAATAAATAAATACAATTTATTCCCAAAACATTGTTTGCTTTCCTTACAAGACTACTGTATTTACTAAGAGTAACCTAGCAGTCAGTTAAATAACTGCTATTTCTAGTTTATGACACTGGTCATTTTGCCATGAAAATGTTTCTGTGACTAGCCATCACTTGTCACATTCCAGTTCCCCTAAATCAAAAACAGAGCTGAACTATATATTTATATATACGATTTCCAAAATTTTGTTTTATCAAAAATCATCTTTCAGGCAATCATTTGGTTTATGCTAAAATAAACCAGGACATGGCTGGTTGTTTTTAGTAAAGAATCTGGGAAACCTGAATTAAAAAGATGGTTTTTAAAACGGAGATTTTTTAATAGAAGACTGATGAGAGAAATTTTGGATAGGAATCTTACTGTACAGATTTTAATTGTAAAGGATTGCCATGAAAGAGGGAAGTCGCCTTACTTTGAATCTCTTTTTCTCTTTTCTCCTAGAACCTAAATTATGATTCATTTCCTGCAGGATATTTAGAGTCTCTCCAATAATCAGAGAAAAGTGCAGAACAAATACATTTAAGCTGACGTTTCATTTTGTACAGATTAAGCACACCATCAGCCTGGTGCTTTGCTGACTTCCCATGCAGACAGGACTTAGTTTTTTGGTTAAGAGCCAGAAAATCTGCAAGCCACTCCTAACAGCAGACCTTCATCCCGAAGGAAAGTGCATCACTTTTTCAAATTGTTAGCCAACTTTACCACCTAGTGGTGATAAAGCAAAACTTTTCAAGCAAGTGCTGGTGATTGAGAAGTAAACTGTAATGAAGAACAAATATTCTACCACAATGCTATGCTGGAATTAGGGCTATATAACTGCACAGATTTTGCACTTCAATGCAAGTTTATTTTTCATTTCTATCTGCCTCTTCTATCTCTCTCCGTTCCCCATCTTTGACAGATATTAATGGTTGGCATTTATTCCCTGCAACTCTTTTCTAATTATCTCCAGGCGATAAAGTACTTCCCCTGCCTAATACAAGTAACTGGCTGAGCTTTCCTGTTATGTTTTTTCCCCTTCTGTGCATTAGTTTTGGTAGAAATACATAAAAGTCACATGGCCACAGGTCAGAAAAACAAAAAAAAAAAAACCCTGAACATTAAACTATTCTACTTTCTTTAAAAAATAGCAGTGTGAAAAGCAAATAATTTAGTATAGTGGACTTTGAAGTAAGACTTCAGAAGATTTTATCAACAAATCTTTCTCAAGGATATTTGCTCCAACATCTCAGTGAATTTGCTCCTCATTTATAGCAGAGCATGCACTTAACAAATTTTAGATAAAGGATTGGTCATACATGATTTCTGAATTCAACTTCGTATGTATTTCAATTTCCCTGTCAATAAAACAGGACATAATTCTTATCAATGCTTTGCAGAGTGCAACACCAAAGAATATACCATATTTTTACAATCCTGTCTTCAAAGACAAAAGAAAGTCACCATCAGGAATAGGCTCTAAGCTCCATATAATAATTAGTCAAATAAATATTGCTGTATATCATAGCAATATTTAGGCTTTCCACTAAGTACAGATAGCTACTACCTGCAATGAATAGCTTAAACATGGGTCTACATTCTTTGCTTCATCCAGCAAAGTATAGCTAGCAGAGGTATGGCTTCATTACCTGAACAAGACTTGTATTTCCATCAGTTCAGTTAGTCAAGAAATAAAAATTATGATTGTGACAGCAGTGGAAATCAGTTTAGAGAAGATATTATAGCCAAACCTTTATGATTTCAAATGAAGAATTCCAAGATGATTTCTTCAGTTTACAGCTTTGTTTACACCCAAAGTATAAACTCCAACATACAAGTTTTTGTTTCAGTGAGAAAGAGTTCCCATGGTAAAAAATTGACTTTCCTCTAAATTCCGAAGGGTTTTTGTCCATCTCATTAATTCATACACTTCATTTTCATGACTGACAGCCACTGCTTCAGTCTTCATAGCTGTCTGAATAGCTGTCTAGTTGCCTTTGGAGAGTGCCAGGTATTTTCTCTGTATCGAACTTTGGGTAGTGTGTACCATCAGAGGCATCTGTGCCATTTTCACTTCCAAAATGGGGTTTCTGGGGGTGCAGAGCTCCAATCTTATTATCATTTCAACTTGATCTGCCCTGCTTTTGTGCTATTTGGTTCCTCTTATCCTTCACAACCTTCCTACTTCTTCTTGTTCTCATACTACAGATGAAATGACCTCTCAGAGATCTTGTTCAGACTGCAAAGACAGGAGAATACTACCCACTTTTTTTCACTGGTTAGACTTCGGTCAATACAAGCTAACCAAAAACAAGTAAGAATAAATGACAGGACATAAACAGTGACAGCTAAGATTGATCTAAAAAAAAAAAAAAAAAAAAAAAAACCACAGAAGTTCAGAAAATTCTGAAAATTTTCAGCCTTTAACCTTTGTTCAGTGAACTTGAGAAAATTAATGGACTATCACTAATGATTTATGAAAGTTAACTACTCTTTTAGAACAAATCTACCTAAGTCTATTTAAGAAGTCTAAAATAAGATCCCGTGAAGGAGCAGGTGTTGATCTCTGCTCTCTGGTAAAAGCAGCAGGACTCAAGGTAACAGCATGGAGCTGCATCAGGGGAGAGTCAGATTAGATATTATGAGTAGGTTCTTTGTAGACAGGGTGATCAGGCGTTAGAACAGGTTCCTCAGGGTGGTGGTCATGGCCGCAAATCTGTTGAAATTCAAGAAGCATTTGGATGATGGCCTCAGACATAGTGTTTAATGTTTAGTTAGTCCTATGTGAAGCCAGGAGTTGGGCTGTTCCTTGTACATTCCTTCTAACTCAGAAGGTTCTACTTGTGTTGTCCTGCTACCAATAAGGTTAGACTTGGTGTACAAGAACAGCACAGAAGAACTGGCAAATCCATGAATTTGGAATTGCATTTCACTTAAAGCAACAACACTGTTTCTTGGCTGTATGATGAATAATAATAATAATAAAAAACAACAACAAAAAACAACCACAGAAAAAAAGAAAACAAAACAGGAAGGTTAAAACTGAAACACTACTTATTCTAGAAGAAAGCAGTTATTTTCTTCTCAACAGTCATTCTTACTATAAGCCTCCCTTTTTTGCTAAAAAGTAAGTATTATATTAAATCAACATTAGGTTTTCTCTTTGTAAGTGTGCTCTCGAAAGCACTCAAGCAATAGCATAAAGCTGTTCCTTCTTACTCTTATCTGTTACATGGACAGTTGCTTGGATTCTTTACACATTATTCTTCAGATTCAACACAATAATAGCAGAACACAGCACAGACATAAACTTCAATCATAATTACATTGGATGAGAATAACTGAAGTATTACCATTTCCTGATTTATATCTATATATCTGCATCAAGAAAGAAAGAGAAAAGGAAAAGGAAAAACAGCCAACAGACGATGATATCAATTAGAAATATTTTTTAGTAGCTACATCATCAGCCTTCAGGGAGGAGGAAGAAGCAGCAGACTTTTGCGTATGGTTCTTGTATACAAACCACAATAAATAACTGACAATGCATACAGTACCCTACATCTCACTGGAATTAATTAGCTCAAGCTTGTGGAAGTTAGTATTACCAATAGAGAGAATAGCTCAGTATACTTGCTAGAAGCTTGCAAAAAATATCTGAATTAACAGAAGAGAAAAAAAAAAACCTTGGAAGTGAAGAGAACCTCTTCTGTCTTTCACAATATACATATTTTTTTTACTTAGAATTTCACACTTGCAACTTTCCTTCGTATGAATGGATCCACAAATTTATCCTTGCGGAGATTTTTCTACTAATACGTCCCACTTTTCTGTGACAGTCAAAGGAAGTGATTAACCCTGATTCATACAGTACACGGTGTGCAGAATTAGCTAAAAAGTCCCCCAGCTAAAACCCCAAGGACAGAAAAATACCTATCCTGAAAATAGAACATAAGATGAAAAAATTACCATAAAAATGGATGTTTCAGGTCTTTTTCCGTTGCTCTTCTGATTACTGACTACACTTCTTAAAAGCTCTTGTGACGTGCTGATATTCCGTACTCACGCATCTCTGCCCAGTAATGCTGATAACCTCCAGGTGTCAGTATGGCTCCACTGCAATTCAACTCCCTATATAAGGCCTGAATTGAGACAGAAAACATGTTTAAGTACGATAGTTAATATGCTGCCTCGGGACTGGGATTTCAGTATTCTAGTTTCTTAGCAGCATTAAACGTGATTTCTTCAAATACTCTTTGTGTCATTGCCACAGCTTTGGTTATGAAAGTGATGCTTTGCTAGTGCTCTTTATACTATACAACCACATGTTGGCATATAACTATTCCAGTAAAACTATGCTATTTGCCATGGTATTACCACAGTTTTCACACAAGAATAACTGTAGCAGTAAAGAAAACGTTGCATTCAATTTACGCCAGTTCTATGCATCCATTCACCCAGGAGGATCCTGTCCACTGGTTTTGGGGTTTTTTTTCTTTGCACTAGCTTTTCTCTAATTCTAACAGAAAGACAGACAAAATTTATCCCTTAACTCTTTACAAATTGAGAAGAAAATGAGAGTTGGAGGGATGGTTCTTGCACAATCATTGAAAGAGGTGAGAAGGAAGATAGCTTTACGAAAAAGTGGAGGAAGATACTGAGTCCTAAAGAGAAGTGATTCTAAGAATTAAGAGACAAAGTGATCGGACTTCAAATACTTTCAAAAGCTTCCATCCATTCTCCATCTTGAACCCATCCTAAACCAAGATCTTATAACTACTCCAGGCCTGTTATTTCCCTACCCTTTTCCCAAAACCTATAATAATATTAACTTTTACCAACAATACTGAGAAGCATTAGATCAGTTCTGGGATAACTCAGTGAAACATCCTGTGCTTATTTGTGTGCTGTAATGAGTTTCTTCTACTTTGCATCTAAAAATCCCCATTTCACATACTCTAGCGCTCCACCAAGAATGTATCAACACAGGTGATTTCTGAGTTGCTTTTATACTGTTCTCCAGTAAACAGTGATATAAAATCAACTTTGCATGACTCTCAGAACACATTTATCAAAACCACATAGAATTAAAGTGTAAGTACTTCTTTGTAATTCTTGCTTTATGGCAAGAGGAGTGGGTAGTATTGGGAAAAAGGAGGTATCTTTTGGTTTAAAAACAGATTAGAACCACTTTAAATGAAGCAATTTGATAATGTGATTGCTTTCAGGACCAGTGTGCAAATAACTACTGTTCAAAGCAGCTGAGTTCTACTTCAGAATCACAGAATGGCTCAGGTTGGAAGAGACATACAAGATCATGAATCTCCAGCCCCCCATTTAATGCTAGAGCAGGCTGCCCAGGGCCCAGTCCAAACACCTACAGGGATGGGGTATCCCCAACCTCCCTGTTCCAGCACCTCACTACTCTCTCTGTAAAGAACTTCCCGCTGACATCCAACCTAAATCTTCCCTCCTTCAACTTAAAACCTTTTCCCCTTGTCCTGCAGTTATCAACCCTTTCAAAGAGTTGATTCCCCTCCTGGTTGTAGGCTCCCCTTAGTTACTGAAAGGCTGCAATTAGATCACCCTGTAGCCTTCTTTTCTCCAGGCTGAACAAGCCAAGCTCTCTCATCCAGTCTTGGTAGGGGAGGTGCTCCAGTCCCCTGATCATCTTTGCAGCCCTCCTATGGACCCACTCCAACAGCTCTCTGTCTTTCTTGTATTGGGGGCTCCAGACCTGGATGCAGTACTCCAGATGGGGCCTCAGAAGTGCTCATCATTATAAAGTTACTAAACAGTGAATGATTTTAATAAATTCCTAAGGATGTTATGGAGAACAATTCTGTTGTTTATTTATTTGTTTGGGTTTATTTGCATGCTTTTGTTTTGGTTTGACTTTTTTTTTTTTTTTTTTTTTTTTTCTGTTTTATTATCCAGAAAACAAAAGTCCACTTCAGATTTAACTAGCCAGCCAAGGCTTTCTGTTAGCAAAACTCACTGATGATTTTCCCACAGGGATCATGATGAACTAAACTGAATTTCCTTCATAGAGTATTGTTTTCAATAGATGAATTTTTCAAAGAGACTACAATAATATTTTGGCAGAATGTTTGTTCAGCTGGGAGTTCCTAGAATATCAGGCAATCCAAGGGTCTAGAATACCTTATTGCTTTTCTTTGAAGTAAAACAACAGTAGGTAGAAGCATCAATAATACTGCCTCAGAAGCCACATGGAAGAAAAAAAGACAAAATACTACAGTAGTTGTTTAGGGGTTTAACATTTTTCATCCGAATGTTAGCGTTAAAGCAACAATTGATGTTAATAAAAAGGTTCAACATCTCAACTGGATCCCTAGACCTGAAATCTGATCTAACTCAGATCATCATGTGTTAACATGAACAAAATAAATGGGTGCAAAGCATCTAAAGCCAGAATGTGTCTGTGCATCTGTATGTTAAAAAAGGTCTAGAAGTTCTGCCAACAAATGCCTTCAAATTGACTTAATCTTAGAGCCTTCTTTGCTTTGAAAAAAAAAAAAAAAAAAATTTGCTTTGAAAAAGTAATTTCTCAATAAACAAGAATATTTTGGGGGTGTATTTTTACTGGAGAATGGACAAAACATTTGATAGCTTAGGTAATAAGTCATTATATTCATTTTCCTCCTCTTTAATCTTCAACTTCAGCTGTAAAGAATTCTCCTTAGGGAAAAGCACCAGGTGAGACTTTTAACAGTCAACACTATCCCTCCTGGAGAATTTGAAATTAATTGGAGCGTCTTTTAAAAATGATTTAACTTCCCTTCTTTTAGGAAAATAGAACAAAAATAGTGCTAACCAGAAAACTCAAAGAAAATGCATGTCACCTTTCTGGTGCTGGTGGCCTGGTGTGTCCTCTGACCTGTGTTGAGGACTTACTCATGAAGAGACAATACAGCACAGATATATTACCCAAGTTTGCAAATGTGCACTAAAATTGAGGCTGCTTTGACTCTTCTTCTGCACCATTCTCATAACTCTCTTTTTTGCCAATCCGCATCCTACCTAGAGAGCAGTGTAAAAGAGAAAAACAATTTATCCTTCCCTTGAGGGAAATGGGAACAAAAAAAGTGGGTAGAGTGAGGGAAATGGGGAGGGAAAATGGAAAAAAGGGAGAAAGGAAAAGAGGGGAGAGGGAAGAAAAGAGGGGAAAAGGAGGGGAAGGGGGAAAGAAGAAAAGGATGGGAAAGGGAAAAGGTTGGGGGGAGGAGGAAAAGGAGAGAAAAAGCAAAAGAGAAAACAGTGGTGAGAGAAGAAAGACAAGGTATGACCAAGGATGACACAACTGTTATGTACCAGATATGTTCTTACTTGGCTGTACAGGTTTGTCACCTGGTTCTTCTTTCCACCACAGGGGCAGTCTTCCTCAGTTGAGGGGGATAAGGGCTGAGGGTGTCATGCAGCCCAGGAATTTGCAGAGCAGCATATGTTTCCAAGATACTGAAACATCTTCAATGCAGCATGAGAGAACTCCAAAGATTGTAAAACCAAGTCATTTGTTCTGGGGCTTCTTTAACTAAATTTTATTTCTAACGCACTAATTTTGTCATGCAGTCCAAGTTCAGTGCTGCTCTTAGCTTGACTCAGTCAGCCCAATCCATCGATTCTGATAATAAGTGCTTTGTCTGAACCAGTTCTTTTTTCTTTTTTTTTCCCATTCTTGACCCTTTGCTGAGTTGCATAAACAACTTTACAGGCTAAATTGGACTTCAGCTGCATTGCAAATTGAGAGCAAAGACTTTAGATTTAAAGGAGTGCAGTCTACTATCCCATAAAAATACTAATGATGCTTATGTGTACACTTGGGTATGTTGCAATACCCAACAGGTTTATCAGACTGGGGATGATTTGGAAAGCTTCAAGAATGCAATTGTTCAGTGGAAAGCCCAGATATTATAATTTTCAGATATTTTGTTCCCTCTCACTTCTGAAACTAAAAAAATGTCTCCAGTGCTCTTTAAAAATGGAATTTCCAGATTTCAGGAGATCTTTCTCTCAGCTGATGGCTATGAAGATGATAACTAAATACATTTCTATTCTCCCTATTATGTACACTGACGCATACTTTAGGAATCACATCTGTAATGTAGCTGAAAGATAGCTACATGCTACAGTGAAAATATTGGTGATTGAAATGTGAGCAGTAGCTCTTCTCTCTCTGGTACAGGCAGGGTTGCTATAAATAAAACATTTTTTGTCACTGCAGCATTTCTCTCCTTGCATAGAAAGCTCACATGAAATTTTTACTGCAGCATGGATAGTGTCAAAGCTCTGGTACAGTGTTACAAAAAAGTAATTTCATTATAATTAATCCACAAGGGATGTGCTTAGTCTAGAACTGCTGGCCTTTTGATCTCAAGGAATATAACACGACTGTAGTAGGGATGCCTCAAAGGCTGTAGTGCTTAAATAATACAGTTCTTATGTCTACTGCTTCTTTAAAGGTCAATATTCGAAAGTATTGGAATACTTAAAAATAATCTAAATAGTATCTAATTACAAAAGAATTTTTAAATTGTCTATTAAAAGTATAGATATGTGGGAAGATATGAACTGATTTGATGTTAATATTAAAATCAAGATGTATTAGGTGCTTTACAAACATATGCACCACTTTTTTTTCCACAGTCACCAGATGAATATCTTTATATTAAGCAATCTCTCAGAAAACTGGAGTTACTCATTTGACACTAATACTTTTATGCTCTTATAAATGTGGCTATTACACCCTTTAAAAATCTGGCAATAAAACTTACTACAGTGAAGAAAATTATTGTTTCTAAGGCAGAGAGTTCTGTAGTTCAATATTTGTAGAAGGAAAAACATCTAGACTGACTTTGCTGTTTAAAATAACTGAGATGTTTCAGTATTACAAAGCGTTATGAAAAAATAAATCTCCATAGCCTTCTGTTTTTGCCTAGGGGAGAATGTTTGCACTTTTTGTTTTTGGAGAGGAGGCGGAGCAATCAAAATCCAAAGCCAGTACTTCAGATGAAAACTTACAAGTCTCCAACTTCTCAAGCTTTTTGAGAGATTGAGAGTGAATTTAGACTTTGAATCTATTATATTATTTTGAGGATCTCTGGGATTTATTCTTTTGTTTTATTCTGATAGTTTTTTAGTGATATATGCTGAAATGAATGTATTTTGTTAGTCTTCTGCATGCATTGGAGAGTCACTTACGTACTATCAGTGGCTGCATTCCTGATTTATTGTATTGACATTGCACTGTATTGTATTTTGCCATGCTTTTTTAAGACAAACTGGAATAAACTCATACTACTTATTAAAATAGGAATAGAACTATATGATAACAACAATCTCACTTATATTCTTTTATTGGAATTCAAAAGTAACTGCTGGCCAAATTTTGGATTTTATTTTTAAGAACTCAATTCTTAGAGAAAGCATTCTTAGGTCTCCGTTTGAGGGAAAACATTAAGAATGTTTTATCTGGAAAGCACTTTGCCAAGAAGAGATCACTTTTTTCCTTCTTTTGTCCCCAAATTGGAGAGATTCTCATATATTTTGGGAAAAATAAAACTTGGGGTACACGCTAGATATCAGTGGGAAAGGAGACAGAAGAGATGGGAGCTGTTTGGTCTTCCTGAGACTCAGTACGGATAGTTCTGCATATCCTATAAGACTTCTTTCATACTTCCAGTATCTGCTCTACCTTGATTGCTCCTGTCCATTTTGTGGATAAAGGTGTATGTCATTCTTGACACAGAAAAAGCAATTAATGTCATGATATTTCTATTTGCCTCAGGTTTGGTATCACAGTGCCATGGGCTTGATCTGTGCCTCTGTCTCTGCTTATCTATCTTCCAAGAATAGCATCAGTGTTTTAAAATGCAATCCATCTTGAATTATTCATGCTTAGTGCATTGGTGACTACTGTATCTTCACTATCTAGTCAAACAGTGTTGTCTTAAAGATACAGAAAAAGGAGGTCAGATTCACACACCATTCCATTAACCCAGTATGCTTTATAGTAGAGAGAGAGCACACACCTTAGAAATGTATAACAGTTGTTGTTTACACACAGATAGCAGGAAAAGTTGTTATTCCCCTCTTTCTCCTTATTTCTCTTTTGAATGAGGATTTCTTTGTTTTCTAACGTCACGAAGAAAACTCTGCTTTACGCAGTGTCCAAAAAGCACCATTCTGGCCTTAGAAGTATTGTACTGATAACCTATCATGACAAAATGCTTTCCAGCACAATGGAAAAAAATATACTCACTTGAGAAATAGAGTACAGGAAGTAGCACTGCAGATATCTCCCTTACGATTTCTCCATTTGCCACTACTGTAGATTGAAGAAATCATCTCCAGGGTCCAAAGAATTTCCAACTTTCACCACATTAATTCTCTGATGGAATTATGGTAACTGCTACAGTTTATTATGCAGTTATCTAATTAAGCAGGTACCTTTGGAGGAAAAAAAGACCTTTCATTTAGCACAAATTAAAAAAAAAAAAAAAAAAAAAAAAAAAAAAGAATACAAGGCACTAAATGGTCTCCCAACATCTTTTCTTCAAATGAGGGTAATACTATAGAAGATGTATAAGTCATTCCAAAATGAGATCTGTAATTGAAATGTGAATATAACATTATCCACTGTCATTTTCATTTAATTATTTTTTTCCTCTGTTTCAATAAGTGACTTGTTGAAACAACTGTGATTATCTGCATGAATTTATTCCATTTGTATTACTCTCTGTGACACAGAAAGAGTCAGTACTATGTACTATACTATGTACTATCTGTCAGCAACTGTTTAATATATAAGATGCTTTCTGATGTGAGAACATTAGTTTATCTGTTCCTAATATATTTTCCTCATTAAAAAAAAGCATGTATATTCATACTTCTTTTTAGCAAGATGTATGACTTTCTTCTCAATATAAATACAACAATCTTGTTAAGGAAATTACATCGCCAAGAAACATCACCTTATTAAAATCTAAAAAAAAATGCAAGGGAGGACAGATTACCTTATGATGCAGGCAACTGTCTCTCATATTTTAAGACTTCCTATCTCTGGTAACTTAAATTCTTGTATTTCAGCAAAACGTGCACATCCATCTTAATGTCTGTCTAACTCATGCTATGTGATTACAAAACTGAACGCTACAGAAATCAATATCAGTCTAGTAAGACTGAATATAAACTTAGGAACAACCACAGAAATAATCTTTATCTTTTAGGCAATACAACACACTCACAATATTTCTCCTTTCATTTCAGCTCTGCAAATACATTCTGAGACATCTTTTGACTCTTAATATGTGAGAGATTCATTTGGATTCATATTCTCTTTCAGTCAACAGAAATATGAGAATATGCTGAAGTAGTACTTCACTTTTTGTTCTTAGACACAATCACAAATAATAAATGTAGTCACAGATGTCCCAGAATGCTGTTTTGTAAAGAAAAAATAAAAACCTTAGAACAACTCTTGTCAATTATAACGTTCAGAAAAAAAAAAAAATATGTGGGTAGACATAATCTAACTGTTTTCTCAGTAGTTTCTACTCCCAAGAAGTATTTTTAAACACAGAAAAGTATCTCAGGGGGTTGTGCAGGAGACCTCATCATCCTTGTTTTTATATGCAAAACGCATAATGAAAAGATGGAAAATTTTGAACACATTTGCACAGCACATGTTGTGTAAGATATGTAACTTACACATACATCCCCATCCAGAATTATTTATGTGTATTGATTCTTCTGTTGAAGAAATGAGAAATATCTATGTATCAACATAGACATCTGAGTTTCTGAGGTTGAAGAGGCAAAAATCAATCCACTGACTTGTAAAGATAACACAAACCAATACTATAGAAGCATGTCTAAATACTCTGAATGGCAAGACAGAAGTTTGAATATTAAGAAATCATTCCGTTTAATAGAAAAGAGTTTTCTATGGAGCCTGCTCGAGAATAAAATCTTAACCCACCTGCTTTTTACTTACTGATGGAGAAGTTCACCTCTCTTTGTATGCTATGAGAATGATCTCATTTTTTTCCATTTCTTGGGTGAGATGGATCAAGGCCACTGCATCTGGAAGTCCCTTCCCATAATTGCCAGTTAAAGAATCTCAGCACAGTGCTCTGTTATCCTTGCATTAGGGTTGCACATGTACCTTCAGTGGGATTGGTTTTGTGAGATAGCACCTTCAATAGCAGGATACACTCAAGTAAGCATTGAGTGGTAGCTCCACATTTCTGTAAGGCAGAGGAAAGTGAGGGCCAGTTGTGGTGGAACAAATTCATCCAGGGTTCAAATTTCTATACTGGCAGACTGAAGAAAGTATTGTGTAATGCAGTTATAGAGCAATCTGTTATTTGAGAATGAGGGGATGTACCAAGATCCATGTGAAAAAAAAATGCAAGGTTGTTTTGTACCCACAAGGATACATGTATAGCCATATAAATAATTACAATTGCTTTGTGATTTCATTACAGCAAACAGATAAACACTAAACAGCTACTCACTCACTTTCCTTATACTGGGATAGGGGAGAGAATTGGAAAGGCAAAATTACAAGAACTCATATATTGAGATGACAGCATTTTACCTGATAAAACAGTAGCAATGTGAGTAAGCTGAACAAAACATGGAATTCATACACCACACAAAATATGTTCTTGGGAATACAAACTCCAGTGCTCCCAAAGTTCCTCCTCTTCCTCTTTCTTTGCTCCAGCTTTTATCACTGAACATGACACCGTGTGTTACACAGTCTGGGTCAGCTGTCCTGGTTGTGTCTCCTCCCAGCTTCCTGTACACCTCCAGTTCTTTGCTGGTAGGGTAGTGTGAGAAGCAGAAATATCTGTGGATCTGTCTAAACACTGCTTAGCAGCAACTGAGTAACTTACCAGTATTTTCACCACAAACTCAAACCATACCATGATTTAAGCCTCTTTGAATAATGTCTCTTCTATCCAAAACAAACAACAGGACTGTTGTAATTCAAATATTGCTACTATTTAAAAGATAACTGGGATCATGAGTTGAGAATAGGATTTTGATGAAGTTTTCTATAATATCAACTTCCTCTCCAACTTGAGCACAATTTCTATATGAAGTATAGAATAGAATCTAAATAGAATTTGTTCATTACAAACCGTTTTTTTTCCACAACACTCTTTATACATAGTAACTGTGACTACACAGCATATATTAAATAGTACTAAATTCATGAACAGGGAAACAAATTTACCTTTCCCTTCTCATTCAGAAAATAAAGTTAATCAGTTAAAGACATACTACTCAAGTAATATTAAAAAACTGTGAACATTTTTGCCCCATAATCCTTCCTAAGAACTACAGCTATTACATTGTAAAACGCTGTCTGCTGAGACTTTGTTCTGACAATGTTCATGTTCTTCCAGAAGGAAATCAACAGTCAGATATTTTCAAACCCCATTAAAGCTATTCAGCATATAGTTTGCAAAGAAACATGGCAACACATGATTAAAACTTAGCAAGTAAATCAGAGGATAGAACAGTTAAGAGACACCATGGGTGTTTAAAGTCATTACGAGTTTGCAGTGAATTACAACTCAAGGCTGTAAATAGGAGAATCAGTCCTACCACTCCACTTATATTGCTTACACTGATAACAGTACTGAACAGCAAAAGCCAATGAATATTGAGCAGAGAAATGATCCTGAAGTGGAAGTATTTCTCCTCTTAGTGCAGACTCTGAAAAAATACGGCTCTTAAATCTAAGCGTAATTCCTCAATAAGCAATTAGGAGTACTATATCTTAAGTCAATTAAATCATGCCTGAAGCTGACCATAACATGGGATGAGAATAGCTGGACAACCAAATCAGTTCCATACTAAGCAGTGATGCTTTGAATTAAATGCTTTCACCTCCACGTGGTGCTAAGCAGCACTTCATGATCACAAACAAATAATTAACACAGACACAAAGAAAACACACAGGTAATAGAGCTTTTTCTGAGTTTCCCTACAAAGCCATAGATGTGTAACACTTTGATCTCATTTAGAAACTAAGTGACGACTACGTTTAAGGGGAAAACATATGAGTAGAATCATCTCAGTGAGATATTCATAGATTTCTACAAATAAAATTAGCTGTGAATAGATAGAAATAATTTAGTGGAGAACAAAATCTGTCATTGTCTATAAGAAGTTCCTGAAAAGCCATGAGTTTGGAAGGGGTTATCATTTTTTGCTTGGTTCTATAGGATGGTAAAAACAGTGGGATTTTTTTGTTACCAATTATATGCTTTATAACAGAGTAAAAACGTTTCTTCAGATGCTGAGACTTACTGACTGCATAGAAAGCAATGCAATTTCTTGATTTTTTTGAACTTAAAATGTAATCCTATGAAGTATGAAAAATAGAAAGAAAAAAAAATGGTCAGATCTATCAGCTCTTCCAGTTTGATGCTGTCCCAGTTGAAATCTCCATGAAGTATAATATATATATAAATATATAAAATATATTTCTTATTGAAAATAATGTAACAAAAAGAAGTGCAAGCTAAACTCAGGCCAAAACAAAAAAACAATCATCCCCTTTACCTCCCTAACCCCCCTAGTTCTCTCCCCGCCAAAAAAAAACACACACTGCATTTGCAGGCTATTGATATTGATTTTCCAATTAAAAATATATGATAGTGTTTAGGAAGTCGTATTCTTGGGGCATTATTGCTGGGTAGAAAGGAGTTTTCTACAGCTGCCAAGGAAGTTGAATATACTCACTGATCCCACTGAAATCTGATTTATATTTTGCTGAAGAGTTGTGGTTCAACCCTGCTATACACAATTATTTTAACAGGTTCAGGTAGAGCAGCGGCATCATGCAGCTAAAATGGCCCTTTAAGAAAGGATCAAAATCTTAGCTCTGCTTTAACTTATTTTGAAACCACATACTGAACCACAGAAAAACATCTTACACTCTCAAACAGTCTTCTCAAGTATTAGGAAATACAAACAAGTCCTTCTGCAGCTGCTTGAAGCTAGTTAGGCTTCATTAAAATCATGCAATCTTCTATTTATTTTTTGTTTTTACCTCTTTAGTAAGCTGTCTCCAAGTACTTTAGAAATGAAACCTGTAAATCTCTTACCCTAAAATAAACAGCACACAGTATGCCACAAATGACATTTTGCAAGGCTCCAGGAGGGAGTAAAGTAGCACTGGCACACAGTTTCCTTTTCCTGTCTAAATGTCATTACGCTGTTTGATATAGTAACAGAAATCACTTAGCCAGTTGGACAGCACAGCAGGTCACTTTAGAAATGAATTTAAAATGATTTAGAAAAAAAAAACGTTTCACACTCACATAAAATAAAAATAAAAAATAAAAATAGTAAAGCAGTCCGGAATGGTTCCTAATAGTTTACTTATTCAGCATTTCATTTGCCAAGATTATTGTCTAT